ATGGTTAAACAAACCCCCATAGCGCATTCTTGGAGAACAGTAGCCAAATAGTGCCTTATTAAGGCTTCCAGTAGGGCTGAAGGATTTTGGCAAAAATCTAAACTGTCAAAATTTTTGAACCAGTTTTTCAAATTTTTTCTGTCAGCTACAAGTTACAAGTTAATACAAGTGTTACTCCTCTAGAGATAATCAAGGCTCAACGTCGTTCTTTTGGTTTTAACAGCCATTTATTGTGGACTCGTCTTATAAAGCCCCCAAAAATGCTGTCAGAACTAAGAAGGGAAACTGAAACCCAAATTAGCTCAAAACAAATATAAAGGTTTACACAAATAAATCCAAGTAAAACAAAGTCGTACCTCATTGGCCGCATAAACTCCAGAGGAATAAAGATAACTTATACAGCTTTTCTCAGAAAAGCAGTCTTAAAGCTTTCTGGTGAAACTTCTTGAAGAACCACGTGCAAAAAAAAAAGAACCGTGTCAATCAATCTTTCGTATGGGCAACAACGTGACATGCGGAACAAAAAAAAAAAAGGTTCCTCCTTAAATTTTAAGGAGCTTTTTAACAAACGTACACAAACAACATAAATTTATCGAAAGTTATTTATTTATTTATGATTGAACTTTTAATTTCAATATTTGTATTTATCAACTGTTGTTTTTAACTAAATATTTGAATATTTAAATGTGTTGACTCTGATGGCAGCTACAACAAGTTACAAGTTAATACAAGTTTTAGAATCTCTATACTCCAGTTGACGATTAATTGATTACCAAATTAGTTAATTCATAATTGATTAATCAGGATTAATTGTTTCAGCCCTGGTTAGATGCAAACTTAAAAGAAAAAAGCTGTGCCTTAAAATGGGAAAAGTTGCAAAATGCTCTAACTTTATTTGCATTTAACATAATGCCTCAGTGAAATACATTTTTTTTTTTTTTTGGACAGTACAAATATTCTTTACCGGCAAATAATTTTATCTTCAGGTCCACTTGGCCGGTGAGTCAACAAGTTTATTTCAGCCAAATTATATAGGCTATATTAAATCTAAAAGTAAGTTGTTTGTAGCAGAATAAGCTTGGTGGTAGAAATAAATCAGATATGCCCCTGAAACTTGTTTATAATTGAAGATTGATACAAAGTATTCCCAGTATCCCAGTAAGATCTGAACCAATGTAGTCCAGTATCAAAGTCCCAGCCACTGTTGTAGTCTGTCAAACCGTGCGTTAAGATTAATCATCTAAAACGAAGCACAGAAGGTTTGACCCATCGCCATGAGAAACAGCTGTTTGATACATTTACTTCTTAGTCATGTCAATGCTGATCTGTTATGGGCTAAATGATTAAATCCCAGAACAGAGATGTTACCTTTAAGCTGATTGAAGAAGTCACATGATTCTTCAGCACCTCTGATGAAGTACAGCTTAAAGTTTGAGCAACATAATTGAGCCCTTAGCTTCACCTTGAGCAAGTCAGAGTGAAACCTTAAGTATTTCACTTTGTTTTTCTGCCCTCTCTCCACCTGGCTTTGCTTTTCTTTTCACCCAGATTTGATCGCAAGACATCTGGTTCAGGATAGCAGCAGCTGCCAGCAAGGCTGGATTCACTACAACCTCCACCAGTATTGAATTCTGTTGAAATTGATATTGTTTCAATACATGTTTGCCTTCAATACCATATTGGATGAATCCAACAAGTATTGTGTGTATTTTGGCTCTACCGACAACTCTCTTAACCCCTGCAAAAATACTGAAGTGTAAAGCGAGAAGACGAGTGTCCTCAGGGTCGTGTTTTTGTTTTGTTTTTTTGGTGATGATTTCCTCGTCAGTTTGTGGGGAAATAAATTACCCACATTACAGCCCTCTGGAAGCACTCTTTAGCTGTGTGCTCTTGTTCCCAGTGTTCCTCCTGGGGCCAGTTGTGCCGAGACGCCATGTGAGGACAAATTACACAGCAGCGAGACATTGTTCGGCTCAACAGAGGTTTTGCTCTTTCTGGAAGGGGCCTTGTTATGGCAGTGAATGAGACTTCAAACGCTGCCCCAATAGCTTCTGATTCACTTTGATGAATAGTTTTGCCCAGCGCCCAGTGAGCTCCAGAAACACTAGGTGTGTCTCTAAACAAAGCCATGTTAAGCCACAAAATTACAGGAACGGCACTCTGGCAGATTCAGGCTCCACTTTGCAATGAAAGACATTTTTTTCTTCTATTGCATTTTGAGTTAAATGGACAAATCACTATTTTCATAATCTTTACAGCAGACTGGCCATGAAACGTTGTTTTGATAGCAATTCAGAGACGAGAGAATTGTTTTAGAACAACATATTTTTAACAGGATTGTCTTCTATTAGCAAGACGATATGTTGTTTTCTTGGCTGCACATGCTGGCGAATGTCTAAGTTGTATGTCGAAGGTTAAAAGCCACCCGATTAAGCAGGTTATACCAGCCGAGTTTGACAGGAGGAAGCACGGTTGCCTTCAGCGCTTTACTTGTCATTCCTGCGCTCCTCTCTTGCCAGACTGGTTGGCTCCAGCTCAGTCCTGGAGGGTCTGCTCGTGTGACACCCAAGTTATTAGCAGTGACACACACACCTATACCCACCACTCTCAAGAGCACTCCCAAAGTCAATAGATTTCTCTTTTTTTATTCATTTTTGAAGTAATATTTGATGTTTTGAATGTAGATTTTTTTGTTAGAAATGTAATTTTGACAGACATGCAGCTTTAGCGTCTGGAAATTTACCACCGTCATTTTCTGGAGATGGTGTTGTGGCTGTTACAGCTGTTTAATAATCATCATGCAGCCTTGGGAGCCGGTCACGGATATGATAAAGATGAAAATGACGTGTGAATTGTTCACACTGTCAGAGGCAGCCCGTCAGCTTGCAAATATCCACAGTCTGTGTTGATCCGAAGGAGACGGTTACTACACTTGTGTAAGATCCAAGCTCAGTTTCAGAGTGGCGACTGCAAAGAAGGGTCCTGCTCAAATAAACCTCCTGACCCCGCATCATTTCCTCTGTCCTTTAGTCTGTGCTCTCCCAGTCAAAGCTGCTGCCGCTTTGCCAGGAACTCAGAAGATAACCAAATGGTGTGTATACAGCGTATTATAACTAAAGGGTAAAAACACACTTCTGTTAACACATATCAATCACAAAAAGATCATCTGCTGTTATTTGCATAGTATTATCTCTCAAATTCTTTATTTTAAAGTCTTGTTAAGACACATGAAGCACTTAGTACTTTCACCGTCCTTATCTAAGGGTAATTAGTCTACATAAGAGCTCATATCACTTTCCTTCAAAGTCTTTGACTACAATTTCTTACACTACTAAATGAAAGCATGTCATGGCTAGCTGAGACACATCTCACTTGGTCGTTGAGGTTTGAGAAACGGTTATTTTACTGTCTGCTGTTTTTTTTATACAGTCACTGACTTGCACTAATGCCAGATAAACCATGTGTTCCAACTTGGTGTAATAATGAAGTAGATGAGCTGACAGCTTGATGAGCTGCAAATTTAATAGATGCTTCCTAGAATATGCCAATCATTGAAGAACATAATGAGGTTACCTACCCTACCCATCTGTAACCTATTTATTGCTGTCAGTCATACAGGGACAAAAGTAGCGGCGAATTGTTCTTATCTGCACGGTCATTTATCAGTATTAATCTTTGTATGTATAAGATAAAAGAGTTTTGATTGAGAATCTGTCACTGTTAATTAGAGCCGGGATTTGTTCATAAAAAGTAATGGTAAAGTCGAAGCCAAATATTTATGTTCACAGTAGAAAAACAAATATTTTTCTCACCGTGAATCAACTTTTAAAACACTTTCTTTTTTGATCTCATGGGAAAATTAAATATAAAGAGCCAACAAATCACAAGAACAACAGTGGCCAGCCACAAGTGTGGCTCATCCATAGGAGGAATATAGGTGCCACGTAAATCTGTTCAAACTCTTATTTTTTGTGTGTAAACAGCATGGGAATGTCCAGCCGTCGTGTCGTTCAGGAGGAAAACAAGATCCATGTCCCAGAGGTATCTACCCAAACACAAAGGCAAAACATGCTGTTAAGGCTGACCAAACTGTCATTATCTACAGTGAAACAAGTTCTCTAAGGATATGAGCTGAAAATCCACTCTGGGGGGAAGAAGTCATAATTTGAAGAGTACCTCAAAAGAGTCGGATTACAGTTTACACATGACTAAAGAGACTTATTGTACATTACATCGTACGCCCTTTGCTAAAAATATTAGAAATTCTACGCCCTGTTTTGGGGATTTTGGTATGCACTCATTTTCCAGAAACTTTGCTCAAATGTTCAACATTTCACAAGCAGTAGTGGAGTGGAGTTTAAATTAATTTTTGCTGCTCGACACACCACATCAGCCAATCAGAGAAGCTGATCTGTGAGCTGGCAGGGAGACAGACACAGCACTGCTTATTAGAGCTGAGACAATCGGATTAATCGTAAGTAATCAATTATTGAAATAATAGTCAAATAATTTAGTAATTGATTTATCGTTAACTGGAGTTTAGAGACTGTAACATATGCCTTAAGGTGACAGATCAACCAATTTAACAAAAAAACACTTTGTCTGTCAGTATGCTATGTCCGGAACTCCTCAAGTGGAATCGTTGTAGTTTCATCAGGTTTAATTTCATAAAAAGTTATCTTTAAGAAACCTTTGGCAATCCGATTATTGATCGAATAATCGAAAAGATAATTGACAGAATAATCTATTTGCAAAATAATCATAGCCCTGCATCAGCCCTACTGCTTAGTGTGAGTGTATGTATGTATATATGTATATTAGGGATGGGACGATTTATGAAAACCGTCCGAACCGTTCGGTTCGACTGTCTCGGTTCGATTCCCATGGTACTGCGACCAAAGCCAACCACGAGTAGTAAATAAGAAGAAGAAGCGAAGCAGCTTAGCCGGGTGCAGCAGGGAAAAAAATCAGTTGTTGTGGAGAATTTTGTCGGAATGGCGAGTGGGAAAGAACATGAGTTGGAAGACGCGCCAGCAGCACTTTATAGGTCTGCTGTATGGGAGCGCTTTGCATTTAGAGTGACCTACGATGACGGCGGAAAGAAAGTTGTGGATAAAAGTTCAACAGTGTGCAAGCATTGTGCAACACGTTTTGTTTATGCTAACAGCAACATGACCAACATGTCATGCTAAAATATTATTCAGTATTTTTAAGGATAGGTCTTTGATCTATGAGCTATAGAGGAAACTAAGTTATAATGTGATTTACAAAAGTTTTTTTTAACATTTTTTTATTTTATGTTAATTTTTATTTGTTGTTTTGTCTAAAAGGTTTTTTCCTTATAAATTTCTCTAAACTTCAGTGTATTTTTATGCAGTGTAAAGGGTTAGGGTGTATACAAATATTTGCATTCAACTTATTTGTTTAAAAATAATGACAAGCCATATATCCTTTCCACCTTTTACATCTTAGCTGTGGCTGATCAGATGACTTAATGACTTATGTAAAATGACGTCTATTGTAGACCATTATATTATTACCAATCAAATGTGACTCATAACTAGAGAAATTTCAATCGAAGACTGTATCGATTTTTATCAGCTTAAACATAGTACTATGCAATGAATGTCAGAAATGTTGGCTTAAGAGTGAATATGTTTGACTAATCTGTTTAGGATTAGCATAGGACCTATCTTTAGATATTTTGTGTGACCTTGTTTGGCAGGAAAGCTCTTGAGCAGAACCTTCAAACCAGTTATAACAATATTAAATGACCAGTTTCTGTTGTATGTAAGCTGCAGACATGTAGAACCAGATTTAGAGGGTATAAAGACTGAAACAGAGTTTCTATTGAGATCCTGATTGTTGAAGGGTTTTTTCTCTCTGTGAGGTTGAGGGACTACAATGGTGACAATTATTTTTAAGATTTACTGACAGGTCAGGCAAACATGCTATCATTTACTTACCGTGGTAGTGTCCTTGAACTTTAAATTTATTCCTCAGGGTCGTTGAAGCTTTTAGTAATTTTCAACACGTGCCTCTTGTTGATGTCAGGTAATGGGATTTTAGTACACCAAGGGTTCTGTTTAGTTTCAGGGTCAGTTTGGGGCTAAAAGCAGGCAAGGTTGTGTTTTTTACCCGCTGTAGGGTTTGTAGGCGTTTCTTACCCAAGCAAGTGACATGTGTAGATGTAAAAACATATTTTCCATGTGTTTTTATCTTTATTTTATTTTCAGACATCCAGGCCTATTATTTAGATGGGGAACTCCCCTGTTAGTCCTCATACATTGAGATCAGACCCCCTCTTCTTCTCCCCTCTTACAAAAGGAGCCGACCAGCCCTCTTGTAGGGCTGGCTGACTTGCTGTCTGTGTTGGTGTCATTGAGACGTGCTTGGTGCTTAAAGTCTCTCTTATTTGTCTCAATGTAGAGTGACCCATCACTGCTGCTATGTCAAGGAGATGGAGGCAACCAATCATATCTGGCTCAGGAAGCCACACTGAGCCAATGGGGACCAGACTCCCCATGGTAACTTGTGCTTAAAAGCCCTGGTCCAACCAATAAAAATAGAGAATGGAGCTTGGCTTTTAGAGTTTAATGGCCTGCTGCCATTAATAAAACGATATAACCTCTGATGTTGAGTTTTATGTTTTCAGCCAGCATGAATCGTTCTGCACAGAGATGGTGCTGTTAAAAAATGCTAAAAACTAGGACACTGACGTTTGTGTATCAATATCTGTTCACTGGGAGAAAAAGTCTACAGTGGAACTCGCACTCCTCCAAACATGTTTTAACGTTTACCATCTCCTCTGCTTCACCATAACTTTGACTTCATTGGTTTGAGCCCAGGCATAGCTTTTAGCATAAAGTGGGTCATTTCAGCGCAGAAGGGAGTCAGGCTCAGGTTTTCATGGTTACTACCTCACTCATTATTTTAGCCTGTCCTTGCCAGGCAAAGCTACTCTCCTCTCCACCAAATTCTGTTGCTCTCCGCACTGTCCCCTCCTTATGTAATAGCTGAGCAGCAAGCAGTGTGTGTCATAGCTGTTTCCATGGTAAGAGTAGCTGAGACTGTATCACAACACAGCATGTGCCAGCTGTGGTACCTACGCTGGAAAAGACTGGAATTTACATTTCAAACGTGTATCTGAGATCAGATTCTTTTACGAGCCTAAAGCTAAAGAGTGTGTTTTGAGTTCCTTTGATCTTTTTTTTTTTTCTATTTGAAAACTACAACCTACAATTTACGTTGTTTTTTTGTTTTGTTTTTGTGAAGAAATCAAAAACAAATTAGTGCATGATTGTAACTAGATACATTTTCTTGGCTTACATTTAAATGTTTGTTCCCTTTTGTTTTGACTAAAATGTTGCTGCATGTTTGTGACCATTTTTACTAGGATAATGGTAAATAGTAAAATAAGGAAAATATTTTCTTAAGTTACAAAAACGCCTTATGTATATGGAATGACAAAAACCTGTTAATTTGTTGCAGCTCTACATGCTGGATGGCCAAGTTTATGCCATTCTTTAACTGTGTCAGTGCCACAGATTTCACCCGAATGAGACAAAATGTTGTAATTTAAGGCAGCATAGATACTTTTCTCATACTGTATTTCTCAAACAAGGTTGCTTTTTTGCATGCTTTTTATTTTTATACTTTTATTTCTTTAGTTTTTACATGCTAGTGTACTCTAGCCCCCTTTTATATATTAAAACCCAGGCCCATTAGCTGCTGACAGATTTTCTAAGGACAGTGGTAATTAATAAGACATTACTGCACTTTGATTTAATAATTGATAGTTTTTCATCAAGTGCCCTAAAATTCTGCTTGTGGCATCTCAAGTAGAAGAAGGAGCAGTTTTTTTGGGATGCATTTATGTTGATTTTAGGAGACCCCTTCTAACTTTAAGGCTTTTTTTTTTTTTTTATCTGTATCAGATTTATTATTTGTAAGTTGCAGTTTCCCTCTGACTGTGGTAGAAAAGCTGCTTCATTGATATACAGGTGCTGGTCATAAAATTAGAATATCATGAAAAAGTAGATTGATTTCAGTAATTCCATTTAAAAAGTGAAACTTGTATATTATATTCATACATTACATACAAACTCATATATTTCAGATGTTTATTTTGTTTAATTTTGATGATTACAAATGACAACAAATGAAAATCTCAAATTCATCATATCAGAAAATTAGAATATTGTGAAAAGGTTCAAAATTGATGGCCCCTGGTGCCACACTCTAATCAGCTAATTAACTCAAACCACCTGCAAAAGCCTTTAAATGGTCTTTCAGTCTAGTTCTATAGGCTACACAATCATGGGGAAGACTGCTGACTTGACAGTTGTCCAAAAGACGACCATCGACACCTTGCACAAGGAGGGCAAGACACAAAAGGTCATCGCTAAAGAGGCTGGCTGTTCACAGAGCTCAGTGTCCAAGCACATTAATAGAGAGGCGAAGGGAAGGAAAAGATGTGGTCGAAAAAAGTGTACAAGCAAGAGAGATAACCGCACCCTGGAGAGGATTGTGAAACAAAACCCCTTCAAAAATGTGGGGGAGATTCACAAAGAGTGGACTGCAGCTGGAGTGAGTGCTTCAAGAACCACCACACACAGACGTATGAAAGACATGGGTTTCTGCTGTCGCATTCCTTGTGTCAAGCCACTCTTGAACCACAGACAGCGTCAGAAGCGTCTTGCCTGGGCTAAAGAGAAACAGGACTGGACTGCTGGTGAGTGGTCCAAAGTCATGTTCTCTGATGAAAGTAAATTTTGCATTTCCTTTGGAAATCAAGGTCCCAGAGTCTGGAGGAAAAGAGGAGAGGCACTTCATCCACGTTGCTTGAAGTCCAGTGTAAAGTTTCCACAGTCAGTGATGGTTTGGGGTGCCATGTCATCTGCTGGTGTTGGTCCATTGTGTTTTCTGAGGTCCAGGGTCAACGCAGCCACATACCAGGAAGTTTTAGAGCACTTCATGCTTCCTGCAGCTGACCAACTTTTTGGAGATGCAGATTTCATTTTCCAACAGGACTTGGCACCTGCACACAGTGCCAAAGCTACCAGTACCTGGTTGAAGGACCATGGTATCCCTGTTCTTAATTGGCCAGCAAACTCTCCTGACCTTAACCCCATAGAAAATCTATGGGGTATTGTGAAGAAGAAGATGCAATACACCAGACCCAACAATTCAGAAGAGCTAAAAGCCACTATTAGAGCAACCTGGGCTATCATAACACCTGAGCAGTGCCACAGACTGATCGACTCCATGCCACGCCGCATTGCTGCAGTAATACAGGCCAAAGGAGGCCCAACTAAATACTGAGTGCTGTACATGCTCATACTTTTCATGTTCATACTTTTCAGTTGGCCAACATTTCTATAAATCCTTTGTTTTTATTGGTCTTCAGTAATATTCTAATTTTCTGATATGATGAATTTGAGATTTTCATTTGTTGTCATTTGTAATCATCAAAATTAAACAAAATAAACATCTGAAATATATGAGTTTGTATGTAATGTATGAATATAATATACAAGTTTCACTTTTTAAATGGAATTACTGAAATCAATCTACTTTTTCATGATATTCTAATTTTATGACCAGCACCTGTAATAAGGTGTCCTTTCTTTTATGTGTCTGGGATCTACTGGAGTTCTTTTTAGGTCATTGTAATGTCTGTGAAGAGAACAGCGCCCCAGTGGTGAATTTGCCAATCCTGGTGTTCTCTGATGAATGCCAAGTGTCCTGCAAGGTGTTGCGCTGTGTGCTCAATCCCCATCTGTGGACATCAGGCCCTCATACCATTCTCATGGAGTCAGTTTCAAACCGTTTTTGTGCAGCACATGCACCTTTGTGGCCTGCTGGAGATCATTTTTGCAGGGCTCCGGCAGTGCTCCTCCTGTTCCTCCTCGCACAAACGCAGAGGTAGCAGTCCTGCTGCTGGGTTGTTGCCCTCCTATGGCCTCCTAAGTCTCTTGGTGTACTAGCCTGTCTCTGGATACTGCCTCCAGCCTCTGGAGACTATGCTGACAGCCACTTGTGTGGGTGGCAGAGTCCATCTCATGCTACCACAAGTGTGAAAGTACCATCAACATTCAAAAGTGAACTAAACCAGGCAGAAAGCATGGGTACTGAGAAGTTGTCTATCGTCCCCAATTGCAGAAGCACACCCTTTAATGATTCGATCTTGCAGAAGTTTGATTTAATTTTATTGTAGTGTTTACGTACCCGCTTATTTTTTGGAGCAATGTATTATCTGAGTATGGTCAGTTAATTGGAATGATCAAGGCATTGGCTTTGAAGCTATTCCATCTTCTGGACAAGCAATATCCTAAGGATTTTAATTATTCTTTTTTCATCCTAATTAAACAAATAAAAGCCTGTACTTTAAATGTGCAACACTTCCCAACTCAAACCTGGCTCCCTGCCATGTTTATGCTTCTCGGTTCAACTGTTTGGAACCCTCAGGACACCAGAGAGACTTCGTAATAAAACTTCTGCTTTAAACGTCCAACCTTGAATAGATTTAGGAATGCATTTAGCAAAAACCTTAGTCCTTTATCATTTTGCTCAACAGAGATAATGCATCTTTTATTAGCCACGTTTTATTTTTAAATCACCTCAAACTGTGCAAGTTTTGATTACTGCATTTCGTTTTTGATGGACCTCAAACATGCCTGCTGAATTTTGCCCGTACAGTGACGCAGACACATGTTGTGACTGTAAACTCTCTCTATTCTTAATGTGAGCTAGCTTTACTTGGTTTTGTGTAGCGAATGGGGTTTTCTCAATACATGGTTGAGCGCACAGTCTGTTGCTGCAGGCAAAGTGCGGTGCTCTCATTTCAGTCTCTCTGGGGAGAACTGTGCCATCGGAGAGAAATGATTGAATCTCTACCTCTGCTCCATTTTCACTCATTTCTCCTGGACTAGAGCTTGCCGTGTTTGTGTCTGTCTGTGTGTATTTGTGTATGTGTGCTCTATGCAGATAACCATATGAGCCCTTACTTAGTCCTGCATTGTCATCCTTTCACATACCTTTGTTTTCTTAGATTTTGCAAAGTCATTTAGGCAGTGAAATAGCTGTTTCATTTGTAAGAGATATTTTTCCTGTGTGCCCTTATTTGCAGACGCTGATATGCATTGAGAATGAGTGGAGTCGGTGAAAACTCATCTGACCCTGCAAGGGCAGAAGCACGAAAACGCAAGGAATGCTCTGCCGAACTCATAGGACCCAGGTAAGCTTCAAGAATTATCAAATCCTACTTATTCTGTCTTATACCCACATCCTGAGATTTTAGATTTCCTTCTTTTTATTCATTTTTAATTTAAAGTCACAGTAGGTGAAACTTTTTTGGAACTTAAGAGGGAACTTGATTAAGAAGGGGGCCAGGTCCTTCCCTCCCCTTAGCCTTTTCAGATTCTAATTGATTGTTTAGTATGCATGGTTTTAGGCAAGAATGGGAATTTTTTCTGCCAATAATTTAGGTAATTATGTATTTAATGCTCAATAGTCTTGTCCCCTCATCAGGAAAAAGGCTTATAAGACTGATTTGTCTTTGATAAGCCATGTAATTTCTAATTTCATAAAGGTCAGAGACTACAAATGCGTATCGAAACCAAATGTAACTTCATAAAATATGTGCGATATGGAGGAATTTAGTTGTATTATTGGTTTCTAGTGAAAAAGGATGGGGATGAAAGACAATTGGCTAAGGGGTGAAGGTACTTGAGCTATCAAGAAACTACTCGGCTATCAATTTCCTTTGCTTTCAAAAGTTTTTTTTACCAACCAAAATGTCATTGGAAATTTTTTTTTCAAACAAAATAAAACAAATCTACAGCTACCATAAAAAATTAACAGGAATTTATTGTGCAAATTATATTTTCAAAAACAACCAAAAAAAGCAAAACATAAATGGAAAAAATAACAAAGCTGTGCATGTAGGGGTAAGAAAAAGGAAAAACCCTTAGATGATGGTTGTACGTCATTTAAAGAAACCTGGAAAGTGCGCCACTACACATTGAAACATCACTAATTGTACATCCGGTTTTCTACAAGTCAATACAGGCTGCAGTATATTAACTCATTATGAATGAGAAGGGGATGTAGAATTTTTCCACTTCCATAAAACTGCTTGCCTTACTAATAAATGTGCAAATTCCAGTCCTTTAAGCTTGGTATTCAATAAGTTTAAATCTGGTGCTTCTCCAAAAAATAGCACAGAGGGGATCTGGTTTCATTGGATGTTGCAAGATGTCAGATATAGAATAAAAAACTGAATTTTCAAAAATTGGCAAGTGAGCCCCAATCACAAGTTGGGTCAACATCTGGCTCCATTTGTACCACCTTTACATTAGATAAGTCCACCAGATGGAGAATCTTAAGGTAAAAAAGTGAAGGATAATCACACATTGAAGTACGTACCTGGCCAAGAATAGTATCCCACAGTTCATCGGTTATATCAAGCTTGCAAATTGTTTACCCATTTTATAAATCAGCAAAAGATTTATAAACCTTTTCGTGCCTAATGTGGAATACATTTTCTAGAATGTAAGGGACAAATAACCGATTTCCCGCAAATGGACTTGAGAAACACTGAAGACCCCAACGTTTTCTAATATGAGACCAGATTAATTAAAGCCTTATGAACTACTCTGTTTTTGGTTAAATAAAAACAAGGCATAAGAAAATGGTGAAATCAACATGGCAGACAAAAAAATATATATTATCCACGTAGAACTACCTTACAATCCAGACTGGTACAGCAATAATCCAATTTCTACAGTCAGGTAGTAGTACTGATTGTTAGTTTGTGCTACACCACTCATCATCTTAGGGCTCTGAAAGAAAACCTTCCTCCCTGGAATATTTACTATTCAAAAGAAATTTACCGAATCTTGGTTAAAAAGAAAGACTTAGGAATCAAAATGCTGTGACACTGAAAAACAAACAAGAATTCTGGAAGCAGTAAAAAAAAAAAAAAATTAAGTCATTAAATTACTTTAAGATAATGAAGGGATATTTTCCGCCATGAACTTTATCATTAATCGCAATTAATTAGCTCTTCTTCATATTGATTTTATAACTAGAAATATTACTGAAATCTTCCATTATTGATTACCGAAGGTAAGGAAGAGGAATAAAAAAAGAAACTATTAAAGAACATCAACGTAGAGGAACACTTGATGCCACACCTCCTAATACATTAGTAAAGTCCCCACTGTTGCAGACTGCTATTGCTAGCACAGATTGCACAGAAAGCTCTGCTTTGTTCCTAAGTGAAGCTGAAAATAGTCAGTGTCGACATTTAGTTAAAACTGAGGTGGAATGGCTGATGTAGAAAAGCTTAATCCAGGAAAAAATTATTGGCAAACTCTTTGAAATAAAAATAAAAAGAAATTATCCCAATTAAACCTATTGACTGCTTTTTAGTATCCATAGCATTCAGGTATTTGAGGTCAGAAGTCTAAATGCTATTGAAAAGCTTTCTAATGATAAAAAGAATGGTGATTCTTAATAAAACCTGTTGGGCAATATTATGGAATGAAGGATATTCTCAACCACAGAAGGTTTAAAAACCAATTCAAATTGTTTTCAAAAGAGATATAGGCCTATAAGAAGCACATTTAGCAGGATCATTATCATTTTAAAGCAGCATTGAAATACCTTTACCCCGGTTTAATGTGGGAAGGACACCAGAGCTAAACGACAATTTCAAAGAAAACAAGCAATGTCATCAAAAATGTATTTGGAAAAAATCAGTGGGAAACCTGTCAAAGAGGATTTCCCGCGACTGCATATGTAATATTGTAAAATGTATTTCCTCTTTTTATGATGGGAACATTAATAGTTTCTATTAAGTTATCTGGCAATTAATGTCACTTTAATAGACAACAAAATCATGCAAGTATTTTAAACTTGCATAATGACTTGAATATGTCTTTAATCTCGAGGAGAGTGGAGTTGGCATATCTTACACCTCCAAAGAAATTCAGGGTGGAGGGAATGGAATGACCCAAACAAACTCATTTTGCGGGTACTCTTATTTCTAGAGTAACCAATTCAAATACATTGGCTGACTTGAGGCAGAAACTTGATGAACCAAAGGATCCTACGTGTGAGACACATCTGATGACCAGCAGCATGAAAAGATTAGATATATTAAGACAGCTGCACTTTAATTACAATCTAAAATGGGTAGAATTACATAGACCCATCAATCTAGGTACACTGCGTAAGATATTTGCCGTTTTAAACTGTAGATATTTATATTTGTGTAATTCTGACTAGGTGAGTTCGAACATAAGATTGAAGAACCTGCCTGCTGTCTCAGAAATCGGGTTTGGGATTTAAAGACTTTATAATCAGTCTCTTCTTTGTATAAAACTAGTCCACAAGTGGAGTTCCTTTAGAAAAAGCTACTGAACTGCTCGCATCCTATCATGCATTGGTTGACCCCAACAAACGCTGCAAGTTGCTAAAAGGTGTCTAAAGTCATCTTCGGACTTAAATAATTGGGGTATGTTTAATATATATGGAGCCGATTAACCGTCCTCTAACTTGTTCTATTCGCATTTCAAGTCATTTACTTGAATTCCGTGTTGATATGAATGTGCATTCTTTTATAATTAGAAATATGCTAGAGTAGTTTAACTGCCCCATAAAGCGTGCAAAGGGGAAATGTTTACTCTCTTAGAATAGATTAACGCAAGCCACAAGGAAGGAAGTAATAGACCAGGAGACTGAATAATGATTGGATGGCAAGTTCAACACTGAATTATCTGGACCCTAGAAAACATCTTAAAAACAATCCAAAGGCTGTGTATGACTGAAGGAATCTTATACCGTCTGTAAAGTAAGGAAGTGGATGGACAATGGTGTCACTTTTAGAGAAACAACCATAGCTCCTACAGAGGAGGAGAGTTCTTGATTAAAATGAGAAACTATCTGTATAACAAGAAGAAAATTGCAGCAGTCCAAAACATACCAGTTCATTCAACAAAGACTTAAGAGAAGGGAAGTCCTAAAATAGGTTTTAACTTGAGATCAATATTCTTTTAAGATGCTGAGAGGTAGTTTGAAAAGGGCTCTACTTGCAAGAAAACCCTAGATACAAGTCAGAAATGGGACGATGGCTTCAAGAAACATCTCAACAAATTTATTTCAGCAACAGAGGGCAAAGTCAGGTTTTAAGTAGCCTAATATTAAATGGTTTTCACATAACTTTCTCTCATAACTTGCTTTTTTTGGTGGTTAATCTTCCTTATGTTGTATGTTTCTGCAGTCCCAAGAGGAGTAACGAGAAGCGCAACCGTGAGCATGAGAACAAATACATCGAGGAGCTCGCCGAGCTGATCTTCGCCAATTTTAACGACATTGACAACTTCAACGTCAAACCTGACAAATGTGCAATCCTGAAGGAAACTGTGAAACAGATCAGGCAAATAAAGGAGCAAGGTACGAGTTACCTCATCACGTCTTTGACACGTGCATGCCGAGGAAAGTTTAACATGCTTTCACAAAAGTGAAAGCATGTTAAAAGTTATGATTTATTTTTAGTTTACAGCCATTTGCAATAAAAGGTGGTGCAAGCAGATTAATCGATCTGTTTATTGTGTTAAAAGTAAAAACAAGTTTTTGTAGAGCATAAGAACCCTGCAAATCTTAACATCTGACTGCAAAATCACTCCACCGTAACACATTGAAGTTATTTTCTTGTGCAAATCACTTCTTTATCCAGTTAGCTCAGCAAACTTGGTATAAATCTCATTCTATTGACTAATGTCTGTGTATATATATATATTTTATTTTCATTTCACTTTTAGCAAAAAAATCAGTGGAGACTTTTTTTCTTGAAGGTCATAAAAATGCTCTCTTTTCTTGAAGTTAGAGACTGATACAAGCTTTGGCCTTTTCTTCTGAATCAGCGTGTGTTGCCTAAAAAAGCTTTGGTTTTTAAAGCGGCATGAATCAAACCATTTGATGATGTCACTATGATCAATTTGACTCATAGAGCTGGGTGGTATGTAGAAGGCACTAAAGTGACGCAAGGAATGCACTCCTACTCAACCTTCCATGAGTCTGCCCCTGTACTCTTTCTGCCCCCCACACACAGTGAAAGACACTCCTCATCATCCTTTTCTTCTTCTCTGTGCTCCGTAGGTCAGTGGTCAGAAAAGGAAAAGGAGATGCTGAGCAATGTGCTCTTAAGGAATTGCATGAGGTTATTTTAATTGCACAATTTTTCATTATACACAAAGCTTAAGTGTTAATTTTAAAAGAACAGTTCTAATCAAATGTAATTTTATTTCTTTTGGACTGTAGCTGTAAAAAGGCCTTCAGTTAACAGGGTTTCCACGGGTCCTTAAAAATCATCAAAATTGAATTAAACTATTATTTTTTAATTAAGGCCTTAATTGGCAATACAATTCATTAAATGTGATTATCATGGCATTTAGAAACTTTATTTAAAAAAAAAAACATGTATTCAAACAATTTTGTTAGATATATCAGATATAACTGCTTCCGGTTGATCGTTAAGCCGTACGTTCGTATAAGAAACTCGAGGCAAATAAAAAGCCAGGGAAAATGCAAATTGCAACAAAAGCGGCTGGAAAATGAGGAATTCAGGACTTGGCTGCAGCCTGTCGACGGTAAAGATGACAAAGGATTTTGCCGTGGTATATATGAGAATCATGGGAACTTGTTGATGGCATTACAATTAGTTCTAAGAGCGTTAAAAGAGCATTAAAACGTATTAAATTAGAGTTACTCATTCCTGTATAAACCCTGATTAACCTTTTGTTGCTGTAGTCTAATAAGTCTGCAAATATTTCAGTAGCATCCACCTTTTAATTATGCTGCATGATTTTATAAGAGAAGAAAAAAATTCCAACATTAGTAGATAATTGGTTTTAAATAAATTATTTTCTTTCCAATGTTTACTGGAATCCCTAAAAGTTTCTGTCAAATAAGCCTGAAGGATATCTGTTGTCTTTTTTTTAAAGTTGGTAATTGAAATTTTCTCTGTAATAAAATATACTTGAAAGATACATTCCTTCTGGTAATGCTTCAAAAGGACTAGAGAACGTGGGCAAATATGGGCTTATGTATATAGGCGAGTAGATCTGTGCAAGAAAATAGCTGCTGGCCTGTATTTGCTCAAATCTTTTGTCAGACTATTATTATTTTCTAAATTAAGGCCTTAAATGGTATTAAAATTCATTAAATGTATTGTGGCATTTAAAATATTTTATTTAAAAAAAAAAGTTTATAAAACAATTTCGTCTGACATATCAAGATATATTTGCGTGGAACTGCTTCTGGTTGATCGCAAAGCTGTATGTTCAGAAAAGAAGCTTGAGTCGGAGAAAAAGCTAAAGAATGGGGGGGGAAAAACACTAATTTCCTGCAGGCTGTTGACGAGTACCTGTTGGTGGCATTAAAATTATTTCTAAGAGCATTAGAAGAGCATTAAAAGCATTAAATTTGAGCTTTTCATTCCTGTATAAACCCTGATTTAAGCCGAATTTCCCTACAAACCTGTGTCAGATTATGTTTTTCTTCTTATATTGGCTATAGAGGTAGGATATTTTTTGCAAGAAAAGAAATTCTAATAAATTCAATAAGCATTTATAAACAGCTTCTCGTATTTACGTTGGATACTTCTGATTCTTTTTTTTCCTGATTCTTTTTTTTTCTTTTTTTCAATCTGAAAATATTTAAGTGCCCCAAAAAGCTAAAGCAGAAGAAAACTGTAGGAGGGTAAATGTCTTTTCATAGTCTGTGCTGCCTACAAAAAGATACACCTTTCCATTATTTATTAATGAGTTGCCACTACTAGCTTTGTTTAATATTCATAAATAACACTAAAAAAAGAAACATTTTAGTTGATTAAGAGAACTACAAATGTATTTCGGTAGTTGCATATTATTTAGTCGTTAATATGTTACAAAATCCTATTAATTGATCAGTCGCTCCTGCTTTCTGTGGCACAGCGCCACACTTCTGTAGAAAGACACAAAGCCAGGGAAGTCGGCCATGACACTGAGTGATGGGTCTGCACTCAGGGCAGCTGTGTTGGTCTGCAGGACCCCGCTGGGCCTGAAAAGGTCCTGCTGATGCATGAATCATTAATGCTGAAAGAGATTAATACTTTTCTGTGGGCTGTTGCACAAACCCACAGCACAGAGGGAAACCTGTGTTTGTGTTAACTTTCACACATTCATAACCATAAAAAGGAAAAGCGTGATTCTGTTTGCTTCTCGGCACAATCTTTTGTCACCATATGGTCAGCTCTCTCTTTGGCGTGGTGCACCCGTTCAATGCCCCCCCCCCCCCCCCCCCTTCAAAAAACAGCCCACTCATATTCTGTGTCTCATCTTCGACTTGGAAAGTAGGGCAGCCTATGCTCTAAACATAAGGCCTCTCTGCATGTTTATTAACCCAGTCACACAGAGAAATGCATAGATGGATTGTTTGTGTTTTTCAAGGGTTTGGTTTATTAAATATGTGAATTTTGTTTTTAACCCAAGTATCTGCTTTGTTCACATTTTTAACCGGCTTTAGGAGTCTAGAATGATTAGAATCATTTAAGCATTAGTCTTCATATTTTATACCAAGACCAAGAAAGTATAACTGAAAACCTCCAGAAAATTAGTTATTTGAATAATGCTAGTAATTTAACTAGACCGGTGTTTTAGGTGAAAATAAACCTCAAGAACCTATATTTTTTTTATTATTATTTTTATTCATTTATTGTCAAAGTAGGATATCTGCGTTTTAACCATTATATATATTTTTTTCTGTACATTTTGTTAATTTGTAATAAATTGTAGGGTCTGGACCACAACTTTGGGATTGAGCAGTAAATTATAGGTGTTAATTCCTTACCTTTACTCAAGTCCTCAACCTTTTTTTAATCTTGCATGTTCCATTGCAGGCAAATTTTTAAAAGCAAATTAAGATTAAAGCTGAGCTATTTTGTTGAACTGATTGGCCTTCCTGTTATCTGCTAAAAGTCTTGCTCTCCCTCACCTCATCAAAAACTGAATGAAAAAGACACATCTACAGATGTCCGATGGCTGTTTTCCACTAGTCCCTAATCTGTCCATTTCAACATGGGTCTTTGCTCTTTTTAGCAACTTTCCATTAGCAACTTTTATGTGGAAAAGTGTGGAAGTTTCTGATTGGCTGTTTAGTAGTTTCACCAGTACCATTGTTTTTGAATTAGTTTTATCCTTTTCACTGTTTGAAGATTTAAAACATGTTTCATATATAGTGCAAATTCACACAAAAAAAGATCCTATCTGTTGTGAGTAAATTTGTCTATCTAATTTTAAAAGAATCTCTAAATTTATTTGACAAATGCATATTTTAAAAAGCTGCCCAACTTTTAAGCTTTAAATTATCTGATGTAATTCCATAATATTATTGATTATAAACCTGATTAGATAAGTTCTTGGTGTGAGTTAAGTCAAACATTCTGCCCCTCCTACTTGTGTCCCTGGGTACAATTTGTTCCCCTATTTTGTACAGGAGTTGTTTACACATTATCCTTGTTCCATATTAGCCCTTTTTTTTTTTCTTCACATGACTGTAATCTATCCAGTGTCTGTCACCGGTGTGGCAGCCGTGCGCTCTGACACGCTCGTTTACAACAACCTTTCACTCTATTTGCTGCTCCGTGCTTGGGCTGAAGCCATGGCCGCATGTTTTCACAAAGGGGACCAAACGTGTTTGCTTTGTTACCAGATGGATACTTGTTCAAATCCCTGTCAGCAGGTGACCTCTTTAAAGTATCTGGGCCGGCTGCAGGGGGAAATGAAGAATTGTTTCTCTGTGCTTCTACTCTGTGACCTCTATGTTTTGCCTTTGTGTTTTTGTTTTTTTGTCATTGTATGAATTCAATCTGTGTATCTGGTTATTAAGTTTGCATTATTGACTTCTGTGATAACAGAAAAGGCGGCAGCAGCAAACGAGGAGGAGGTGCAGAAGGCTGATGTCTCATCAACAGGCCAAAGTGTGATTGACAAAGATGCCTTGGGACCAATGATGCTGGAGGTGGGTGGATTGTCTAATTAATCATTATGTCATCCGCAGTGCCTCACAGAATCTATTTATACCCTTTTGTTTTTCAGCCAAATTCGTATTAGTATTTTTACTGTAATTGAATTATTCTTGTAGTTTTTTAGAATATATAACAAAGTTCTTTTCACATGGGCAGGCTAAAATGTTTATATCCATCTATGCAGTCCTTGTGAATTTGAACTCATGCCTCCCCCAAAGCAAGATCCTGCCACTGTGTCTCATTGTGGGCAATTGATGATTTTTAGGGTTGGTTTTTCTCACAGATTTATGGAGACCTTGGCTAATAGTGATCCTGTGAACAGATTCTCCTTTTTTTCTCTTACTTTGTAAATTTGGAAAGTTCTGTGTCCCTTTCCTTCCATAGCACAGCTATGTCTCACAGCGTGTTGGTTTAGTACAAATCAATATTTGTTTTCTTATTAAGATGAAGAAAATGTTCAATGGGTGTGAATACTTTTCCGTGGTGCTTTAGAGTTAAGGAGGTTTCACTGTACTGAAGGATAATTTTCTAAAGTGTCACTAGCGGAAATTCTCCACCGCAGGAAAAAGTCAACTCTTGAAGGGCTGATTTTTATCTCTAATGAAGAGCACCATTCACAAAGAACAATCACAGCTGCACCAGTAGTGGTTATGTCAGAGTGTGGCTGTGTGAAGTGTAAGCTGCCAGCATCTTGCATCCGCCCCTGATTGGCTGTAAATCAGCAAGCAGGGCAATGTCCTCGTCGTACGACGGAGAGCCAGTGAAGTGCTTACTTATAAAAGAAAGCAACAGCCAGTTGGATGAATCCGTCCATTGAGCGTGTCCGCTCACCCATTTCCACCCTCCCAAGCTCACTCTGATCTCTCTTCCCATCTTCCCTTCGTTCGCCTCTAGATCCGTCCTGTCATGGAATATTTATAGCACTTCTGGTCCAGCGTCACTGAATCGACACACTAACTCGCAGCTAAATATAGCCCAGTGCAGCCTGCGTGCTTTCCCATCTGTCAGCAGTCCCAAAAACACGGCGATAGTCCATTCACACCAGCTCCCTTCCAGGACATGTTCACTTTCGCAATCTGGGCTCATTACAGCCCACTCAGAGGAGAAAGGCCTGCGGCAGGATGAAGCTTCCACACAACCCCCACCCCGTGTGTGAGACTCTGCTTTTCCAAATGCAGAGAGAGATGGAGGAATGTGGGGAAACATTTTTGTGCTGCTCTTTTAACCTTCTGCGGACATGTTCATTACATCACGTCACTGTTGCGTATCAAGTGCCCTAAAAAGTTTTCATATTTTGTCTTTTTTTTGCCATAAGCAATGACAACCTTCATTCTTTTTATATGGAGAATTTGTTTGACCAGCAATTAAATGTTTAACATAATTGCATAACTGAAGTTTTTTTTTGTTTTTTTTTACAGAGTTCAAACCATTAAATGCTTGTCAATTTAAAAAGATAAAGTCAAAGCCCTGGAGGGTTTTAGAAAACTGCCATGAAAAAGCACCTGCCTTGAAAGTACTTAAATGGTTTAATGTGTTTGAGATTTCACACTAATAGCGGTGTTATCAGTGCGTCATTATTTTTCGTGTAGCTCTGCATTCTTGTTTCCTCTATGTAGTCAGAGTAGTTAACATGGAATCTTCTTTCAGGGGAATCTGTGGATTGCCAGTCACTTTGAGTCAGAGTCATTGGGCCTCATGCAAGATCAGTTCGTACGAACAAATTGGTTCTAAAATCGTTGGTAGGGGTGATTTTGGAGAAAATGTCATTCACCATATTTCTCCTTTTTTGAATTTTCTCTCAGGTATGAACAAATTTTATGAGGGATACAGACTTGATGTAGGAGTCTTGCACAGTTAGTCACCTTTTAACTAAATGACTATAGTTGTTTTCCCTAGAAGCAATGGTCCATTTTATTAGGCTACATTATTATATATTATGCAACTCTCCAATTATACATTCAAAATGTATTCCATTGGTCACTGTGCCTGCATCCGGCATGTTGGTATCCAGATGATACTGCTTAAATTTCCTAAAGAGAGAACAGTTAGAGATCCAGCTACTATTGAAACTGCTGGGCCGCTGACTGGACCGAACCGGGCATTCGAACCGAGCCGTGAGCTCTGGGACTGGTCTGACCCGACCCGGTCACGGTTTGCCCCCCCCCCCCGCCTGCCTTACCGTGCTTCCCCCGGCCAGGTTGGGTTTCGTCGCTTTGTCCCTTGCTGGCTCCCTGTCCCCGTCCACCTGGGTTCTCGGACCCGCCCCGGAGCTGATGGCTCGGTTCGAATGCCCGGTGTGTTTCGACTACGTGCTGCACTCTATCGATCTATCGCTGATGAGGCTCACCACTGTGGTGTCATCTGCAAACTTCAAAATGTGATTGGTGGTGAACCTGGGGACGCAGTTGTGTGTCATCAGTGTGAACAACAGGGGGCTCAGCCCTGATGTTGCATTTCTGCTCAGTTCTGTCAGACCTTGATCCGCAAACCTTTAGTTTTTCTTCTTTGTCTTCAATGCCATTCCTGTGAACACCTGTGTGTTCATTCAGAGGCATGGGAATTCATAGCATTATATGAAATAATTGGGGCAGTGTTTAAGCAGATTTACATTTCACAGAAAGCGCCATGACATACAAACAGCTGGACTGCATCACGCTTACGAGGATCTTTTACAATAATTTACTGAACAAAATAACATTTGTTTAATCTGACATGTCTCGTTCTTAAGTCTGAGAAAAAGTAGGAGAAATGTACTTGAAGAGCAAGAAAATGTTGCATGAGGTCCATTGAGTCTGTATGAAATGCAATGCACTGAACATGTACATTTCAGGATGCATGGTTTTCAAAAGAAAGCTATACTGAGTGGTTGTCCAAGACATCCACAAATGAGCAGTCCACTTCCTGCTAATCAAAGTTGAGAGCATGGACAAATCTACATTGTCAAGCCATTCTACATGAGCTCTTCACAAAACGTCTTTTAAATTGGAAGCATTTAGGTCATGTACTAACATTTGCATTCCTAACATGATATATAAATTCCCTATGTAGAATACTGGCCTATCTAGTGTGCCAGTGAATGGTCGAAACTTGTTTTGGGTTATTGTATCGTTAGAAAGAGCTACAACCATAATCTTCCATTATGGGGAAACTAAAAAAAATGGGGTTTGAGTTTGGCAAGATCTCCCTGAAAATAAGCCAGGTTAGTAAGATGGTTATAAAGTAAGACTTTATAACCTTCATTGTTCCCAACAACCTCAATAAGTTGTTACATTGCTGCTGATTTTTGCACAGTTTCTGTTTTAGTTAAATAACATGCTTCTGTCTTTTTTTGCACATCTCTGGTGTTGCTATTTTTCACATAACCATTACTGTAAAAATGTCCATAGCTGTATATTGATTTTTTATTCTTCAGATACAGAGTATTTATATTGTAAAAACACTGTGCAGTACAATATATATAATAATATAACCTATTTGTTTTATTTTCTTATCTGTTATTTTTATACACTTTTTTAAGGTCTACATTGTGTGACCACTTCTACTATAACCATCTGCTACTGTAACACCACAATATCCCCATTGTGGGACAATGAAGGGATTTTCTATCCTATTTTATTATGGTCAGCACTTTTCAGGGTTTTTTCAGTAGAGTCCTTTGCTATGGACTGAAACTTGTTTTAAAAACGAAATTTAAAGACAGAGAAAGTTCTCAACTTTTCTCCCAAAAAACTTTTTTTTTTTTTTTAAGCAAACTGAGATGCAATTACAAAAGCAGAATACCTTTAAAAGTGTGTTAATTTGTTTAGATCATTCTTTTTTTGTTTTCAAGTCCATCATTTTATGAAAATGATTTTACTTGAAAGAGTTTTGCTGTCCAATTTTTTATTTATTCACTACCAAAGTGAGCGCTTAAAGCTTATATAAAGCTTTGAGAAGTGAACCATTTTGCAATATTATTTGTGTGAATCAGAGATAGATTTTTGGTTGTTTTTAGCTTGTTTCTGTGTCAATTCAAGCTTAAGTTGGTTTATTTATAAGTGTGTTTAACAGCCATGCCTTAAGATCAAGTGGAGTGAATGCATTATGGCTCCCCTCCATTTTCTATGGACCTAAATTGTGGCCATAAAGTTCAGCTCCATAATTGCTATGGTTAATGTTTTATTTTATTTGTAAAGAGCTGTGTCTATTTGGTTTCAACTTAAGGCTTGTGTAGCCTTTGTTATCAATGTGTCATTTTTAACATGTAGATTGAGGAATAAGAATATGAGATCCAAGAATCGGCCTAAAAAAAAAGCTTTAAAATTAGGTGTGCCTTTGTGTTACTCTTTCCCAAAATCCCAATAAGACGCATCAAGTGTTAGATTGCTACATATGCTTGATGCTAAGGGAAAAGTTTGGTGTTGTTCTGACATTACTAATCTGTATTGATGCAGTCTGTAGTGTTGTAGATATGGAGAATGAATAGCGCACAGGAAAAGTACAATTGTTCCCAATGATGCTGTTTGGAACACGTGTACTTGTATTGCCTCAGCTCTCTCCAGTGTATATAAAAGGAGGGCAGTGTAAATCAAAAGTATTGGCCAACTGCATTGAGCAATAGTGTCTGGAGGAGCATTAGAGTTGGCACTACGCAATGTTTATCCTGTCCGGTCCATGTTCTTTCCTCACGCAGGATGAGCTTGCATAACCACATTGCAGTTTGGAACAGCCCCAGTTAATGCACTGATGGATGAGGTGGCTTTGAGTTTTTTTAGATTTAGATGTGTCAAAACGGTCCATCATTTTGCAGGCTTGAATCAAAAAGGAGAGTTTCCAGAATCTTAACGTTTTGTCTTTGAATGAATTTGACTGTGTGGTTTTGTGACTTTGTCAAGAGTCATAGGAAAAAAAATGTGCTTTACAAAGATGGTAAATGTCTGTTTATTAGCAGAGGGCTGAAGCAGATGGAGTCTCCTTTTTTTTTTTCCCCATCTTGGCACAAGTTTCCAAAGCTTCATTAGCATCAGTGTTCTCCTTCTAAAGGCTTTAGGTGATTTGATGGTCTAATTGACATGATCTTGTGTGTAATGGCTGACCTGGGGCTGTTCTTGCAATTAAGCACTGTTCTTCCTTCTCATGCTTTAACCATACACAGCAGTTTGTTTGGCTTTTATCAGCTGCAGTGATTTTTAGTTTTTTTTTTTTTATTATTAGGGTGAAACACTGATTTTTACCAGTGGTTTCTCTGTAAACATGGGGTAATCATGTCCAAATAGCACAAAAATCACCTGATATAAATCAGGGCTCAGTATGTGCTCCAGGTTACAGCACACCAGCAAATAAGGATTTTTTTCTCTACTTAAAATGACTGCATAACTTATATAAGAAATTGGTCTCTGTGTTATTTAGCAAAATCTGAAGAAATATTTTAGTCATAAATTTTTAAAGGATGCCCTGATGTACGAGTATTAGGGCCAGGCTAGAGTTTGTTTTTGTTTTTTAAATACCAGAATAAAGTCGTAACATTATGAGAATAATGTTGTAACATAAAGTCGTTATATGAGAATAAAGTAATATTACGAGAATAAAGTCATATTATGAGAGTAAAGTTATAATATTACAAGAATAAAATCGTATCATAAGAATAGTCATAAAATTACAAGAATAAAGTTGTAACTTTATGAGAATAAGGATAAAGTTGTTTTTATGACAACTCTTACATGAAGCACTGTCTTTTCTAAAATGACGAGCATCTTAGAAAGTTATACTTTGGCATCAATTTCTTAAATAAGGAAATATTAAGTCTTTTATCATACCAGGATCAAATTATTCTCAGTATCTTTTTTTTTTTTCTGAAACACATTTTAGTATGATGACTTCATTCTTGTATTTTTTTTTTACTTTATTCTCATCATTTTACGACTTTATTCTCATATTATGACTTTATTCTCATATATAAAAATAAAACAAAAAACAATTCCAGCCTGGCCCTAATACTCCGTTGTACTAAGAAGCCAGAATTCCTTCTTTTTAATTTTTCTTTTTTATTTAAAACTTGAACTCATGGATTTTTCAGTCTGTATAAAATTAATATGAAGTTTAAATTTATTGTTCTTTAGATAACAGTTAAGCAATGACATATCAATATAGAGAGTAACTCAATCTGTGTTGCACCATTTCAACCCTAAATAACTGTTAAAGACTTAACACACTGTGTTGTTAAGTGTCTGGTTTGTGGTTAACACTTGATGTTTAAGATGTGGAATAAATAAACACACTAGTTTCGACTGTTGCTTTATGATATTACCATTCCCCTTCCCCTGCGCCACTATACACATCACCAATTCACAGTTTATTTCCAACCTAGCAGGAAGGTCTTTGACCTGCCCTCGAACTTGATTACCCGATTCCTGACATTTGTGTGGTGTGGAAATCTTTAGGTGGTGTTTTAATTGTCTGTTTAAATATGTCTCAGCCAATTATTTCACTGAGTCTAAAATGACTGAGGATTTTTATGTATTTCTGCCACTAGCAAGAAGCGGAAACATGTTTTTTACCGATTGTGTGTCATCAAGTATAGTTGCACCTGATCCTGTTATGAATAGAAAGGTCATACTTCTGTGTTCGTCCAACTAGTTTCATAACATTTAGATTAATAAAAAGGAAATGTGGGTTTAATTGTATGGTACTGTGCTGGTGCAAGTCCTCTGCTGTGGACTAGTACTATTTTTTTTTTTTTTTGTGTTGATGATAATCTGTCTAAGGGACAAAAGTTCATAGTTGGGATCCCTCAAGATCTATTTTATATATCCCTCTTTGCTAGTCTCTATAAACAAAGAAAATCAGAAAAACAACTTCAGTTTATCCAAAATGGCTGGAAAAAACATCATTTGTAAAGTTACAGAATTATTTCTGATTGCATGTCATTGAGCCGCTTGTCAGGAAGGAATATTTGTTGCCTCTATAGGCCTGTTCTCTGGGTTCCCACAAGCACAACTATATGAGGGCAGCAGCATTTATTTACTATCCTCCAGGATTGTGCTGATATAAAAAAAGAACATATAAAATGTGCTTAAATCTTTCGCTTCTTTAATCCAGATTGGAAGCAGTTATTTTTACTGCAGCCTCTCTATAATTGTCAGATTATTAAAATTACTAAATTTCTTGTCTATTTGTTTTAATTTGCTTTTAAAAAGCTATTTTTTAGTGTACTGTTTTTTTTTTTTTTTATATATATATATGTTTTGTCTTTTTTATGCTTCTTTTACTGTGAATAAACAGTGCTGTATCAATACCAATAAAAGTACCTTCCTGGCCCTTAAAAATAGGCTGCAGATACAGATTTTACACAGTATGTAGAAAGAATCAGCTGTTTTGATTGTCTTTCATGCTTTAAATGATAATAACACTGTAAATACAATAGATCCGAACCTAAATCTATTAATAAATCCCTGAGTGATAAAAGCTTAATTTATAAACTATATTGCTCTTTCAGGCTACCGACTGTAGGGTTGTTAACAGAGACTTCTTAATGATGGTGATAACTGCCCTAACAGCAGGTTTATCATTGTGTGTGAAGTTTTTTTGTGGAGGAACCTTATTAACAAACCCTTTTTTCCTCCTCCAGGCCCTTGATGGCTTCTTCTTTGTGGTGAACATGGAGGGTAACATCGTATTTGTGTCTGAGAACGTGACCCAGTACCTGCGCTACAACCAGGAGGAGCTGATGAACACCAGCGTTTACAGCGTGCTGCATGTTGGAGATCACGCCGAGTTCATCAAGAACCTGCTGCCTAAATCCCTAGGTCAGCCCCCGGCTTATTTTCCCTGCCAACAAATGCTGTGTTTGGATCTTCTATCTTTCATCACCTTGGGTTGTTTTTATTAGCAATTTCACTTTAATTATAAGGTTTATTGTAGTCCATCTATGTTTGAAAGTTGGCCAGAGAAAGATTTAGCAAAGTGCGAAGATCCTAAAGGTTCTTTTTCTCTTTCGCTGATGCACGGCCCAGACTTTTTCCTCTCTCTTCTCCTCATCCTCCCTCGCTTTTCAGCTAATTAACTTCCTTTTTTTGGCTTTCTCTCCTGTCAGCAGCATCAGGCTCTTCCTACATTCTCATTTTGTGCCCTTCCTTCCCCTTCTCTAGATTTTTTTTTATGCTTTTTTTCTCTCATTCTCTAACACACACCCTGATAGTTCCTATTTTCTTGTTCTCACTTTCATGTTCTCCAGCCCACTCATTAAAATCTTGTTTTGTGCTTTTCTAATGTAAACATTGCAGCAGTTTTTGCAAAGCTAACCATAGTTTAGACATTTTCTAATTATCTTTGCCTCAAATTAACCTCAATACAGCTTTACTTCTCACAAGGTAATGTCTCATTAGAAGCTCTGAGTTCTCCTCTGCTGGTGCTCCGGATTGAGGTCTGAGTATCCAGCCATCTGGGTGGGAGAGCTGCACAGAGCAGAGTACCCTGTAAATGATCACTGGGCTGTGTCCCAGTTACTGGGAGATTATCAATGCTCTGAATGAGATCACAAACCAGATGGAGTGTGATGGGAGTTTGCTAGAAAGAAATGAGTTGGCCATACATGTCTTTTAATCTTACTTCTCATGTGTGTGCCCGTGTGAGTTATTTCGTCCCTGTGTAGGAGTTGGACAGAAGAAAAAAAGCTGGGCAGGGATGTTTTGGGAGGACATGCATATGAAAGCCTGGCTGTGATGCATTGCTGTGGACGGATGGCTCAGGGTTCCAACTGCTCATTAAAACTGATCTCTACCCAGCAACAGCTCGCCTCTTTTTGCACTTCCTCTGCTTGCGTTCTCCCTATGTTGCTCTCATTATGTCTTCCACATGCAGAGCACTCGCCTCCTCTCGACTCTCTCTTTGCATACTTCATATTTCACTGTTCACTTTCAGTCAGAGGAAACCGTGGCCCCTTTCAGATTGTAAATCTCCTTTGCTCCCCTCTCTCCTGCAGTCAACGGCGTGCCGTGGTCCAACGAGGGTCCGAGGAGGAACAGCCACACGTTCAACTGCCGCATGCTGGTGAACCTGCACAGCGAGAACCAGGACGAGTCGCACGAGCCCCAGCAGCAGAAATATGAGACCATGCAGTGTTTTGCAGTGTCAGAACCCAAGTCCATCAAGGAGGAAGGAGACGGTATGGAAGCAGGGAGGGAGGTGGGGGATGGAGACAGGTTGGAGGATCAGTTGAAACTAAAGAAGTGACCTTATAAGACAACCTTGAAACCGTATGAGTGTTTTACATTTAGGGTATCAATTTAACATATGACTACATTTCTAGTACATTTACTGGTTTACGTTAAGTGGACGAGAGCTATTGGTGCTTGTTTTTACATTTCTAAAAATTAGTGTTGAGTTGCATCGTCAGCAAATCTGTTTACCTCAGGTAACAAGTTGGTAATCCTTATTGTATATATATGTATATATATGTATATGTATATATGTATATATATATATATATATATATATATATATATATATATATATATATATATATATATATATATATATATAAAGCCTTCAGATATATTATTTTATTGCAGTAGCAAAATTATACAATGGACATATTTCAAGTCCAGCCTGTAAAGTAAGTTCAATTGGTGGGGGAAATTTTTATCAAAGAAAACTTTTTCTAATAAAACCACTGCTTAAATTTTATGTTTTTCTCAGTAGTTTATATATTTTTTGATAAAACCTATTTAATAAAGTTGGACCAATTAGAGAGGGATCTATGTCCGGATGTCTTGAAGAATTTTCTTGCATTTCTGCATTAATTTAGCCTTGTGTTTTGCATCTTTTTTTTCATTGGTTAAAACAGCTAGTGATTACCCAGTTTTAGGTTTCTAAGAAAGATCGCTAGATTTTAATTTAAATTCCTCGACTATTTGAAAAGGTTTATGTTGTCTTGTATTATTACCAAGGGCCCTTCAAAGTTCAAAACATTTCTGATCCTCCGAACTAATCAATGAGACTGGGGATCTTTCCATTGTGTTCATTCTCATTTTTTTCCCCTCATGAACTGCATGTCATAAGGAAAGGTAGTAGCATGGGTCCGGTTCTTCCACAGTGCAATGATTGCTCTCCATTCAGGAAGAGCAGCCGTACAGGGGCTGACCTTCAAAGATTCCAATCAAGAGACGCTAAATTGAAGTACAATTTCTTTTTAGTACATGTTATGAGTGGGTGATCTACAAAGATCGCAAAATGTTAAGATCTAAACCAATTTAGTTCTTCCGCCCCCCCAAAATAGCAGAGTTTGTGTAGGAAGTTTGAGAGTGGCCATTGAGGTGTAAAGCCATTGAGATGGAGAAAATAATAATTAGAAAAAAAAAATTCATAAAAGCCTACAAAATATTTAAGTGCTTTATTAACTATAGTAAACGAAGTTGCAAAATGATGCAGAGTCCCTACCCCTCTACATGTCTGTTTGGAGGCTCATCTAATGTTTTTCATAATCATGCCATAATAATTTTGTTTAATTGTATAAAGATTTTCAGCCGTTGCACTATATTAATTTGACCTGGCTTATAGATCTCTTTTTTATTATTATTACTCTACTATTGTTATTTTTGACAGTCCAAATATGTTTACAGGCGTCCAGAATCTGTCTTAATGTTGTACCAATGCCTCCTCTTATCATCAGAACTGCATATATTTTTGCATGTCACTTTGCAACTCGCTTTCAAATGTACCAAAAAACATGCAACACAGTTGAGCGTCTGATTTGGAAAATCACTTTGCACAGTACAAATGTTGAACTTTGCATATCCTCCAATAAATTTGTGAGCTTTGGTCATTAGAATATGATCTCTATATTGAAGACAAATGCGCAGTAAATGGTTTGCACACGCTGTCCTTGAAGACCTGCTTTGCGTGTGCAGACATGTTTGCACCCGTTTTAAGATGCACAAAACCTCTGAAGATCAGGCCCTTAGTTCCTTATAAACAGAAGGGAAAATGTCATGCAAAATGCTACACATCTCTCTGGAAAACACAAAGTTTCAAGTAGATCTTTATTCAAGTTAGATTTGCACAGTAAATTCAGTTCCTCAGATTCTTCTACTTCTATTGCACGATAAACAAAGGCAGATTTGATCATGTTACTCTTTGATTTGAATCTTGCATCCTGAGATCATCTTTGCAGTTCAGGAGATAAAATACCATTAATATCTTTATTATCCACATAGGAGGAGCTGATAAAAACAAAATAAATTGGCCAACACTTTTCAAAGTTTCAGTTCAATTCAGTTTATTTCTACAGCGCCAATTCACAACATGTCATCTTTAGATGCTTTACAGTCAGACTGGGTAAAAGTTTCTGTCAATGAAATCTAGTTGATTTTATAGAGTCAATGATTTGCAAGACAAGGATCAGCTTGGAGCGATGATTTTCGCTTGCATTTTGTCGTCGACAGAGCATGGGGCAGAACCAGGCTTGGTGTGAACGACCTTCTGGGTTAAATTAGATAAACACAGACATACAAGAAGAGGGAGCTAAACAAAATAGAATAGAACTTTATTCTCATTACACTGGCACAAGTAAAAAGTACGTAAGTAAGAAATTAACTCTCCGCATTTAACCCATCCCCTTGGGGAGCAGTGGGCTGCCATTGTGCGGCCCCCAGGGAGCAGTGTGGGGGTTAAAGGTCTTGCTCAGGGACCCAGAGTGGCCGTCTGTGGGAGTAGCTCTGGGACCCAAGTTCAACGCCCTACCCACTAGTCCACCCCTCCCTTTCCCTAGCTCCACATGTGACCCCGTCCAGGAGATCCACAGCCAGGCGAGCTCAGAGCCAGAGTAAAAGAGAAAAGTGCATTAGAAGGGGGAAAAAAAGACCAGAGAAGCCGCTGTTATACTGTTAAAGGAAATGTTGAGGTTCTTCTGTTGTGCCTTTTAATCATCAGCTTTTGCAAGCTGTATTCTGGCAAACAGACTTAGAACAACTCGACCTGAAGGTTTGCGAGCCATTTTGTGTCAGAGCCCAATCAGTGGTTTTAGCTGTGGGAATCACTCCAGCCACAGACAGACACAGAAAGAAGGAAGTTGGGTAAAGTCAATGGAGATAAACATTTATGGCCAGACCTCCCACAAGGCTCCCTACATACATGTATGACTGCCTTTTCCACTCATCTATCTCTGTGGGGAACATGTGGGATTATGGATATTATTGGATGGCAGACATGTTTTGGGGGGTCACTCAAGCGGTTGAATTGACAAAGTCATTTCTACATGTGCTGCAGACGATTATCATTACTGAGCCATGTTGGGCCGGAGGAGGTGTGATGAATGTGTGATTGGACGTCAGTTAGAACCAGGCAGCGAAACAGACGCAAACACTTGAACACACACACCTTTAAAAGGTCACACTACATCATTTCCCTCACCAGCAATAGCTGTTCCTCTCTAAAGGCGCCCTGATCCCCATGCTCATTAATAACTGTATTAATTATGCTGCCTGGGAATAACATGCATTTCATTATCGCTCCCTCCCTCTGTCGCTATCCTTTACGCCCCCCTGTCCTCCCCTCTCACTCCCTCTTCATCTCAGCTGTCTTACCCTCGTCCTCTTTGTTCCAACCTCCAAGTCGTCTTTTGTTTCCCATGTTCACTCGCTCTTCTTTCTGCTTAGACTTCCAGTCGTGCCTGATCTGCGTGGCTCGGAGGGTGCCAACGAAGGAAAGACCCATGCCTCCCATGCACGAGAGCTTCACTACTCGACAGGACCTGCAAGGTACAAGAAGCGACCGGACATACAGCAGCTAAAAGCTAATGCATAGAGCTCTAAATCTGAACCTTAACTATTATCTTTAACATATTAGTCTGAACGGAAACAAAAAGAGATTTCAGATTAAAGAAATTTCCGCTCCAAAGAGCCTCTAATTCAAAATCTCTATTCCACTGTTTGGAAAGGCCCCTCCTGATTGAACCAGATAGTTACACCTCTTGTCTGCTCTCTGTGGGGTAAAAAAAACAAACAAAACAAAACTGGTGTATCACCTGGCCTCTGATGTACTTACGCCGTTTGTGTGGTATGCACACCCACAACCACATCACAAAAAACACTCATGGTTAGTTGGCGACATATAGTAATTTCCTGTAGTTTCCCACCCAGGCTTCAGTAGGTGTGCATGAATGTAAGCCTCTACTTACTGAGCTCTCCTTTAGTGCAACACAGATGACAATTACCATCATTTGTGGAATTCAAGATGCATAGCTTAGCATTTTTCCTGCTTAGATGAAAGAAGCTACTATACACCCCATTGTGGTGTCTTTCATCCCCTTAGTGGTTGTTTAATATGATGTATGGCAATAAACGGCTCCTGTTATAGGCTGACAGGTTGGCCTCAGTCAAGCTGGAAAGAGTTTGTCAATCCTTAAAATGATTTTAAATTGCACCTGCTCGAGTGGCTAGTGATAAAAACGCCATGAGTGATGAGTTGCATCAACACAAATATCCTAGATGCTCTTGTTAAACAAGGTGGTAGTTCAAACGGGCATAGACATTTATAGATGCATATGTCAGCAAATTGCATACGCTTGTCCTTTTGTTATTAGGTAAGATTACGTCCTTGGACACGAGTCTACTGCGGGCGTCCATGAAACCGGGCTGGGAGGATCTCGTCAGGCGCTGCATCCAGAGGTTCCATCTACAGAAAGACGGGGAGATGTCTTTTGCCAAGAGACATCAACAAGAAGGTAATTACTTTGGACATCTTTAAAATTAGAAAGAACCTGTAATTCCTCTCTTGCTTTGCAGATAGACCAGTATAAAGTACAGCATGATTGGTAAATTGAAGGAAAATATGTTACCTGAAATTAAAGAATAAATCAGAAATTTGTTCCACGCCGTTTATTTTTATTACTGTACCAACAGTGTCTTCTGGCTTTGATTTTAGAAAGTAAATGTCAAAATGATCTCTTTCTTTCTCCCACACAATTGTGCAGAAATTTGTGGTTCTCTTTGACAAATCAAATCATTCAAATACATTTGTAATGTTACAAAATGGGGAAAAGTTGACAAAAATAAATCAAAAACCATCACCTTAGATGATTCAAGTAATCATTATTTCAGTACCTCAATAAGCACATTTTTTTTTAAATCAAATGTTTTCTTTGCCCAACCCTGCCGTGTCTGCAGTGCTCCGCCTAGGTCAAGCATTCAGTCCCATCTACCGATTCTCCCTTTCTGACGGAACCATAGTTTCTGCCCAAACGAAGAGTAAACTGCTGCGCTCACCTGCCACCAACGAACCCCAGCTCTACATGTCCCTGCATCTTCTACAGAGGTATGTCTCCTTTTCATTAACCAACATGTTTTTGCTTTCATTTATATGTGAAGAGGTAAAGATCTTTAATCGGGCTCATCAGATAGCTGAGCTAGTGACATTTTTTCAATCGAAATGCAATTAATTTGTCACTAGGTTCCTTGTTTTGCTTCCACTTGGCACTGATTCTCGTTTCAGAATTTTTTAAGACAATGATTGATAAAAGTGTACGTTATAAATTAGCAAGTCTGGATGACCTAGGCCGTTTCTCAATATGTGTACTTTACGTTGTCATCAGCCTCAGCCCTAGAAATGCTCCAATTTACAAGAAAACAAAACAGAGAATGGACAAAGTCCCCGGATGTTGTTCTCGCTTCTCCCTCTTTACCAAGCATGCATCAGAGTAGGCGTGTGCATTTCTCCCAGCATGCATGGCGGCAGCAACAACTTCCAGGGGACCTCTCACAGAGCTCAGAGTATTAAAAGTTGTTCTTGTTCTGCATGTAAAGTATGTTTTAGGATCGTTTGAGGCGAGAACATAATATTTTTAAGCTTCCTATAAAGTATAAAGTTAAGCAGCACAAACATATGGTTACACGCACAATGCTGTGGATTCTTCTTCTCTGATATTAGGTAGTTTCTATATTCCTGTCTATTGTTGATGCCCCACCCTAATTGATAACACTTATTTTAAGCTTGAGCCTTGGACTAATTAAATTAAAATTCATCTGCAAAGCATTATTGCTATAGACACAACTGCTTGTGTCTGTGTCTAATCTGGACCAAATGTAGTACATTCATATTAATTCACTTTGTTTCCAATTGTTGGTCGCTGTGCCACAGATGCACTGAATTTCCCCCTTGAGCAGAGGTCTGCAACCCTAGTTTTAAGATCCACTGTCAGCAGCTCAACTGTCATGATCAAATATCAGCAAAATCAAATGGCTGGCTCTTAACCAGACCTTTGCTTAACTTGATGGTATGCTGAGGAAGTAAATCAGTCATTGGAATTAGCTGTGTTGGAGCAGGAATGCATCAAAAATCTGCTTAGGATCAGGGGTTGGAGGGACGAATCAATTATTTCCTTTTCTATTCTAGAGATCTAATTCACAGCAGCTGGCACTTTACCAGACATACTGGTCAAATTTGTGTTCAATTGTTTAGGATCTGTTAGGGCATAAATTACATCAGATCAGTTCATTCAGTTGCATTTCAGTCATGCTGTCATATTCAGACTCCTATACATTCAGGTTCAGGCCATAATATTACATAATAAAGTTATATTAGGATAAACCCTTAGCAAAAGCTCAAACTATGAGTTTGTTCCATGAAAAAATACTTAATGGCAGCAACAGCTTCTTCACTGAGGAAATAGACAAAGCTGCATACAAAACACAAGTTGGTAGAAATTTCTATGAATATAGTTGATCCTAACTTTTTTCCTTGACTCTATCTAGAAATAGAATTATGACATCAAAAGTAATGTCTGCAATTTCAGGTTTTATGCAGTTCTTTACAAGTGTTTGACATTTTATGTTTAGAAGGTTTTGTCATTTTAATTCTTATCCTTCAATATCTTGGAAGGATTTTTGTTAACCTGTTGAGTAAAAAGAAAGGGCTGAACAAGATGGACTGGAACTAGTATAGACACAAAATGTTAATTACATTAGTAGCTCTCTATGTGGCTTCTTCCAGGAAGGAGACACTGCTAAGTGTAAAAGCAATAAGCCAGGAACGATTTCTGTTGAGGGAAAAGGAGATAAAATGTGATGACAGTTATTTAGTATTTTAGAGGCGATATTTTCAGTAACTGTGTGTTTGTGTTTTATTTAGGGAGCAGTCCGTGTGTGGGATGGGTCAGGACATGTGCAATCAGGAAACAGGGATGGCCCCCAAACCAATGAACCCTTCCACTCCCTCCATGACTCCACCAACCCCAGGCAGTTTGCCCGGCTCGGGGCTTCAGGGCCAAGACACTACGATCAGCAGCAACAGCACGCCTTTCTCTCCCGCAGGCCCAGCTGGTCCCAGAGAACCGGCGGCCATGGGTGGCCATATGCAAGGCTACCGTTTCGGCTGTCCGCCGCCGCACCCTAACTACACTGTGGGCATGCAGCCACCACAGCAGGGCCCCAACTGGAGGATGAACAGCCCCTCTCGTGCCAGCCCCAGTCCAGCCGGAGGGCCCCACCCACCTCAGCAGAACTCTATGCTGTCCCCCAGGCACAGGGGCAGTCCCGGTGGCGCGGGCAGTCCTCGCGTAGCTGGAGGCCTACAGTCGCCCTCTCCTGTCGGAATGTGTGGCGGTGGCCCTGGAAGTGTTGGCGGCAGCACTACAGGTAGCGCCCATCCTAACAGCTACACTAGCAGTTCTCTGTCTGCTCTGCAGGCCCTCAGTGAGTGCCACGGGGTAGGGCATGGACACGGCCCCTCTCATGCACATACGCTAGGCTCCCCAGACCGGAAGATAGGCTCCCCAGCTGGGGTCACACCAGGGTCGGGGGTAAGTCCTCACATGATGTCCAAACTCGGAGGAACCTCGAGTATTTCTGGTGGAGCAGGAGACTTTGGACCTAACTCAGAGGTGAATCAGGGACACAACCAGGCTGAGAGAAACCAAACGGAGGCCAAGGAGGAACGCGAAGGGTCCCTCGAGGGTCACGACGGTCACAGTCGTATGCATGACAACAAGGGGAACACAAAATTACTGCAGTTGCTCACCACGAAGCCAGAACCTCTGGAGACGCCCCTGTCCCCAGGGGCCGGAGGAGAGGGAAAGGACCAGGCTGGCACCGGAGCACGAGGCGGCCACGCGGTCGGGAGCGCTCACGCCACGTCCCTCAAAGAAAAACACAAAATCCTCCACCAACTGCTTCAGAACAGTACATCCCCTGGAGACCTCCCCAAACTCACTGCTGAGGCAATGGGCAAAGAGCTGGGCCAGGACCAATCACAGGGTGCCGGAAACACAGCGTCTGGGGCAGAAATCACTCCTAAGCAGGAGCCGCTGAGCCCTAAAAAGAAGGACAATGCACTGCTGCGCTATCTACTGGATAAGGATGACACTGTAATGAAGGACAAGGTCTCTAAGCTGGAGCCTGGGGAGGTGAAGGTCAAGGAACACCCCCAGGTCAAGGTGGAGAAACAAGATGCAGGATATGATCGTGCTGAGCAGGTCAGTGTTTGCCAAAACCTTTACTCAGTGTCTGTGTTTTTCCTTGGTAATGTACACTCTCTTTTTGCAAAGAAGAGGAGGGTCCGATTTTAGTCTCTAAAATTGACCCACAGTTCATCTATAGGCTTTGAATATCTAAAGTGGTCATTGTGTTTTATATCGTAACAGAATGTAAAAGAAATAGAAATACACGGCTGTATTTATTCAGATTTACAGTTGTGTTATTTCCTGTGAATTTCCTGTGCCTGGTCTTTATTAAGGTACATAAACACATCTGGTCCTTTCAGCGCCTTTGTGTTGGCAGTGAGCACTAAGGGAATCTATCTGCCAGCTTCAAACAACTGTGACATTTGGAGGGAGCTCCCTGCGGTTCTCTTCAGCCATTTGATCCCAGTTGCATGTGGCCTGAGTCTCCAGGTTTGGCAGAGCTGCAGGGAGGCTCTGCACTAAAACAGGGGGAAAAGGAGCAAACAGTGAGAGTAAGACTCTGTTGACTCAACAGGGCAGAGATTTCAGACGGACTAACGGTTTTGCCTAGTTTCAGTAAAACTCACATTCGTACAAGAAGCTGCACTGCTAAACCCCAACGTTACCTAGAATTAGACTAATGCTCCTCCTGTTATTCATCTGTTTCTCTAATTTCTTTTTAAAATAGTAGTCATGGTTTTGTGTAAAGGCTGCATATATGAAGCAGAAGTGAGCATGATTTGCTGGATAATGAAAGAACACTGTAGTGAACAAAGAAGAGAGATGAGAAAGGTGTAGATACCCCCAGGAGAGCCCAGCCTCGGCATGCAGAGTGAAAATGATGAGCCATATGCTCCTGCATGTTCTCCCTGCTGCCATGGAGATGGTGGGCAGAGCATGTGCTGTATTTGTAGAGGGGGGGTGGTTGAAGGTTTTAATATTGAGGGTTTGATTTTTGCGGAGGTGCAAAGCTATAACCTAAAGCCGAACGATGAAATGAATTCTGGTTTTTAGAAGCAATAATTAAGTTAGACGGTTGTTAAAGGAGTCGTTCCTCCAGTCAGTGATTGCTCATTCCTGTTCAACAGACTTCATTAATGAGTAAAGGAAAAAAAATTACTCTTGTTAATTTATGACTTTATTAGTATTTTTATGTGTGAGTGGTTTTCTATGCTTCTCCGGTGAATCGCTGCCTGACCATGTGGGAAAGCTGAGTGAACTAGTTAAGGAGTCATCCTCTCCACTGAACACGCCCACTGCTTCCTCGCTGACTCCTCATCTTCCTCTGCCTTGCTCCTTCCTCTTCATCATCGTTTAAGGAGCTGAATTATTGATGGCCAGGGCAGAGCTAAATGAGAAATGAAATTATGGCTGTGGTTCTCTATAGGAGCTTGAATCTTATGATTTGATCAACGATCAGTTGGGTTTTAGGTGACAATGTTAAGGGTGGTGTCTCCATCTTTGTTTTTTTTTTTTGCTTAAATATATATATATATATATATATAAAAAAATTATTTTAGTTTTCTGGCTTTTGAAGTATGTAAAGAGAAACTTGGATGGGAGACTTTGTATTTCTAAACCTAGTGTTGTATCTCATTGTCTCAGGGTTTCCGCGGGTCATTAAAAATCATTAAAAGTCATTCAATTATTTATTTTTTTTAAGTTAAGGCCTTAATTTGCATTCAAATTCATTAAATGTGATAAATGTGGCATTTCCAATGCTTTATTCTTTTTTTAAATAAGTACGTTCATAAAAACAATTTCACCAGATATATCGTGATTATATTTGCGCAGAACTGCTTCTGGGTCGACCATAAAGCTGTATGTTTGGAAAAGAAGCTTGAGGCTGAGGAAAAGCTAGAGAATGGGGAAAATGCAAATTTCAACAAGTGGCTGGAAAGCAGAAATTCGGGACATGGCTGCAGCCTGTCGACGGTAAAGATGACGAAGGAAGGATTTTGCCATATAAAAATATTTCTCCCCCTTCTCTCCTCAGTTCTGCTGCTCCATTCATCAATTGATCCATCCGTTTATCATCTGTCTCTCTTTTTCTTTTCTCACATTTCATATTTAAAGCTATTGTAGTAATATATCTCATAAAGGCAAAAAAAAACTCCATTGATCCACTTCCTGCTCCATCCCATCATTCATGAACGCATCACCAAAATGTACAAACTTCTCCACTTAAGTTAAAACCTGTGCTCTGTTCAGTCAGAAACTGTTGCTATCGAGCTGTAATGAACAGTAAAATCCTCTTCCTGAATCTGTAGAGCCGCAGTGAAGCCAAAGTGGTGAGGGCATCCGGCTGCTTCACATTCCAGCTCCGTGGCACCTGCCACAGCCGCTCTGCTCACACTCTGTGTCTGTGCGACTGAGGGCTGGTGGTTGTTAATGTCTGCTGCTTCAAACGATGGGTTGTCTACCTCAGGATCAGCTAACATTGCTGCTGCTCAGTTTGTTGTTCGCATGCTTTAAGCATAAACAGTTATTATGGGATCAATTTAAGAGGCATGCACATTATGAGGAAGTCTACTAGCCCCCAGGAGCCAGATTCATAATGCTGTCATCTCCTTTTTTCTGTTACTGGTGACCTAAGAAGCAAAGCGTAATTTGATCACCTGTCATAAGTAGTTTCCTAAGCAGCAGCCATTACCAGGTTGTTGCTCTGAAAAAAGAAGTGTAATTCTATACTCGCTAATTACCTGACAAGATAAATATGTTGAGGAAAGCAGCTGAGATTTGGATCCAGATTACTTGCATTTAAGTGTGAGGTGCATTTGAACAATTTGTAAATGTGCAATGTTAGTGAAATGTCAAAAGTAGCATGGATTGTTCAGTGCTTCACTGTGCAGCCCCTACCTCTTTATTTAAGAGCTGGATGTAGCTTTCATTAAAAACAAATAGTTTATATTTTCATTTGGGTAACAAAAAAAGATGTTTTGTGCACCAGAGGTTGTATTTACCTCCATACACCTGGAAAACATGTTCGTTCTTCCTACCAAATGTTTTCAAAGGTGTTAAAGGGCGTTATTAAGAGATTGATTGATTGACAGCCAAGCTTTACATCAATTTATTATAAATGTTTACTGCCAGGAACTTTAAAATATTGGTATTTTTATTATAGGTAATAGGTAATTATAGGTAATGTATCTATCTGCATTGTTTGGTATTCCTAGTTTTTGAGTCGACAGTAGGCCAGCATCCTTGGTTCAGCATTTTTTTTTTTTTTTTTTTTTGCCCCGAGTTTCGAACTTCTGCTTTATTCGATCTGTTTTGGTTCCCTTTCCTGCCAAACGCCATTAGTTAAGTCAAACCCTTCTGTTGTTCTGTGATTCCCCTCCAGAGTGTGTCCAATCTAGGGAAGAAAAGTCACAAAATGAGGCTCATGACAACAAGACTAATTCAAAGAAAGATTTTCAAAAGGTGTTTTTACTTTTTGCAAATAAAAAAATGAAGTTCATATATTGTCCCTTTTAGGCGTGCTTTCATTAAGGGCTGTATTTCTTTTTATATTCATATAAAAACAGGCATTTGCTGATTTTAATATTAAAAAACTGATATTACTCAGATCTCGACAGGTTTGAAATTAGCAATTTAGCACCTGTATTTATTGAGCTATTTCTCATTAAATATAGTTTTTTTTTTTTTCTTAACAGCAATCAAAATTTATTTAAATATATATCAGCTTGCTTCGGTGGTGCAGTGGTTAGCACGCACGAACCATGTACAGAGGCCTAAAGGGCGGATTATACTTCTACAACCGCACACATCAAATGTCGCTTCCGTCAGTTCATGAACCAGTTTAGCTGGTATGCCTCTGCAACGTCGGTCTGGAATTTCTAGGGATGCAGAGCAGTTTCCCACCAAAGAGCAAGGGGGAGCCTATTCGAGAACTACTTCGTCGGATCCGGCGGGAGTGTTCATTTATCAAAACATGTCTGAGGCATCGTACAAGTGGTTGTACTTCCAAATCTCCTCGATCAACCTTTTGTCGGGGTTATCCATTGCTGTTATCACTCCTCGTCGGCACCAAATCGAGAAGGACGAACACACAGACAGCCAGAAAGGCATACCAAGGACCAATCACAGCTGCTTTTTGTCAGCGCACTTCAGTTTGAGGTTTGCGTAGGTTTGTGATCGATTTTTTTTTTAGGTATGCGACGACGGTTGCAGAACCTCTGCGTGAGGGGGCGTGGTCGCGCACAGAGACAGATTTGATGGTTGCAGAGGCTATGTGTCAGAAGTATAAATTGGCCTTTAGTCCTTGACGCGGCCAGCCTGGGTGTGAATCTGACCTGTGGTCCTTTGCCGCATATCTCTCCCCCTCTCTTATACCCCCTTTCCTGTCAGCCTACTGATGAAAAAAAACACTAGTGCCCTAAAAAAATCAAAATAAATCTATATAAAATAAATATTTTTATGCAGAGCAGTTAACTCGAGGCTAGTGCTAGTGTAGGAGTTGTTGATAACAGCCTGTTGAATATTTCAGATAACTTAATCTGGAAATGTGGACAAAAGCTTTTTTGTTAAAAAAAAAATTACATTTTCTAATCATATTTCTTTGCTTTAAACATCATTAAATTTAATTGCTAGTTTTATAGGTACTTTTTTAACAACAACACTTAAGGTATTAATGGAAGTGCAGCAGCCAATACAATCGATTTGATATTCAAACACTAATTTAAAAGGTAAAAAAAAACAAAACAGATTCTATATTTATGGAAAATAATCTGCGTGGTCTAAAATACAGTTTGCAAGTCAGGTAAAGAAAAGTAAGCCATGCTTTTGATGAACCAGCTGCAGATAATTCAGCTGCATGGTTCACTAGGGGGTGTGCTAGCAAACAAACCCCTAACAGTATACTTAGAAAATGTAGAAGTTACATTTTGTCAGGACATTGAATATTAATATTTTGATTTTTATCTGCAACTTTCTAAAATTTGATAAAACATTAAAGTACAAACTCATCCAGACCTGTAACGGTGTTTCAGGTTGGTGGTGGTGTAATAGTGAGGGAGATATTTCCTTTGGAC